CACACACACACACACACACACACACACACACACACACACACACACACACACACACCCTCGTCATGCGCAGGACACCAGCCAATGGCCCCAGGAATGCTCCCCACACGCAAGGCTCAGAGGGACTCTGCCAGTGAATAGCCAGCCCCAAGTAGGATGGGAAGCAAAGCCAAGGTACAGCTTGTGGGAGCCACAGAGGTTAGTCCCCGGTCCCTACCTGTGAAGAGAAAACTGGCACCCTGAGCTCAGACCCACCGTGGCGTAGAACAGAGGGTGGGGGCTGCAGGCCAGAGGTGCTCACTGTGGCTTTCCCGGCACCCAGCTCAGGGCCTGGTGTGCATTTTAGGGATTCAGGGCCGAGTTGGTGAGCAAGCGAGCAAGGAGAAAACGGGCGCACTCAGTGCTGGGCCTACACTCCCTCCGCATTTATGAAATTACAACCCCAGAGAGCGTCTTTCAAGGGGCTGGACTGAGTCCCTGGAAAGCAGCAACAATAAAAGCAGCGCCAGGCTGCACTTGAAGTGGACACAGGCTTAGGGGAAGCCTGTCCCCACTGAGCCCTTGGAGAACGGGCAGTTCTCGACCGCCTGACCTATCTTCGCCCTGTCAGAAGAGGACTGCTCACAGCCTTCTGGGCCACGCTGCCTCAAAACCGCCCAATGCTTGGGCCTAGGCTTTCCTCAGTGTCGCCCCCACAAACCCCTCACGGTCACCCTGGAGGTCAGCCCTGAGCAAAGACTGCCCAGTCTGGGCAGGAGACACTCCCGCGAGGGTGTGCGCTGGGCAGGGGATAGTGTGGGGCTGCGGGGCGCGCCCACTGGCAAGACTGCTGTTGTGGGGTCTGTGGAGAGCTAGCCTCCCTCGCCACCGGGCTGCCTCCCGTGAGGGCGATGCACCCTCTACACTCCCTGCCCGGCACTCAGCGAGAGCCGGGAGGTGGGTTCTTTGGCCGGGGACAGGCCAGGCGCCGTCTGGCTCCAGCCGCAGGGCTCACTGCTTCCTCACAACAGCCCCGACACAGACCCACGGCGGAGTGTGCCTCCAAGGCCCCACTGCTAATGGGGCGTGTGGGGCCAGCACAGACCACCATGGGCGGCCTTGGCGGGCAGCGGCTCTGAGGAAGGTCAGGCCTGGGGCCTGGACAGCAGCCGACCCTCTGCACTGCAATTTCCCCAATTTCAAGGAGAGGTGCCACTCACCTGGCCCCAGAGGCCGTGGACAAGGCCTAGCAGGCGGTGAGTGCTCAGCAGACACAGGCTAGCGCCCCCCGACCTGCCCGGTGACACTAGCCCAGATGGCCAGGCGCACACGCTGCCCGCGACCAGGCACCAGGAGGTGCCCGGCCCCATGCAGGGCGCGCTCCTCTCCTAGAAGCTGAGGGCCCCTGACAGGCAGTGGGGGCGGCACAAGGCTTCCCAGGCTCAGGGCAGCCACTGAGGGCAACAGATGCACCGACTGCGGCCACGCCGGTGGGGTTGCGTGAGGGCCCAAGGTGACAGTGGCTCATGCGGAGCCTTCCCGGTGGCGGGTGAGCAGGAAAGTTGGCACTCCAGTGAGAGGGGCAGCAGGCCCAGCGTGGGGCGGGGAAGAGAGGGCTGTGTGGCCCAGAAAGGGTTCAGGTTGCAGCAATCCCGCTGAACGTGCTGCTAGGGTTCAACTGCCCTGCCTGAGACACTAAGGTGCCGCCGCCACCTGGGGTGCTGCCTCAGCACTGGGCTAGCAGGCTCAGGGGTGGCTCCGGGGCCCATGATCATCAGAAACAGGCCTGACCGTGTCAGTTCTCAAGTGGCCGCGGTCTGCAGGGCGCCAACCCTGGCCGGGCGGTGGGGTGCCGGGGATGGTGAGGCCAGGCAGTGTCCAGCCACAGCAGCAAAAGGCGCTCCTGCCCCAGCTCACCTTTTGAGCCCCCGAGAAAGCGTGGTAGAAGCAGGACACGTAAGTCATGATGGCTTTCTCATCTGGCCTCAGAGTGCCTACAATATCTGCACAGAGAAAGAGAGAGAGAGGCAGGAGAGAGTGAAAGAGGCAGGGAGAGCAGCCAGGGCTGGGCCCGAGGCTCATGCGGGAGGAAGAGCGCTTGCTCTGGACTGGAAGCCAGGCCCCGGCTCCAGCTGACGGCCACGCCTGACCAGGGCTGCAGACAAGGGAGTCTGAATAGCTGGCTTCCTGTCCCAACCAGGCCGGTGGGGGCGCACCAGGCCCCAGCTCTAGATAAGGAGCCTGTTTTCGGCTGGAAGGGTCAAGTGTTCACTGATCTGAGAATGGAAATGACGCTGCATCTTTACTACGTTAGCAGAAACCCCTAAGGCTCCTGGGGCCTAAGAAGCGCCCAAGCGCTCCATCCCTGGGCTGCAACGGGTCCACGTGCCGACCTGTCGCCTTCTCCAGCTCGTGGCTCACCTCCCTGCGCTCTCTCACCACCCCACGGTCAGCCCATGAATAACCCACAGCTGACTCTTGCCTCGGGGCCTTTGCCCTTGCTCGGCCTTCTGCCTGGAATGCTCTTGCTGCTCCCGTGCGTCACCGCACAGGCCTCACGCTGCGCTTCAGGGACCTCCCCTGTGGCCCTGGCCAAGCAGCCCCCGAGCGTCTCCATGCCAACATCCTGCCCTGTGTTCCTTACCGAGCTTATCACTACCTGAAGTGATTTCCCTGGACAGGCCTGTCTCACTTTCCGGGACTCGCTAAAACAGCTCTAGCAAGTCTGTCTCAGTCTCGAGCACGGGCTCCGTGCGAGTCGGCGCCCTAACTGGGTACTCTTAATATTCTCAGTGCCTGGAGCAGAGCCTGGCACAGACCAATCACCCAACAGATAATGTGAGTGGAGGCCGAGTAGGCAGGGATGCCAAGGAGGCGGGGGGGTGGCTTCCAGTCGGAGAGAGGCCACTGCCGTCTGCAAGAGAAATGAGGTGAGCGTGGGAGGCGAGAGGCAGCAGTGGCAGTGGGCAGTGGCGGCGAGGTGGGCCTGCCTGGCCCTGCCCGGTACCTTCTGCGCTCCCGAAAAGGCATGGTAGAAGCTGGACACATAGGTCATTATGGCCTTCTCGTCGGGCCGAGCCGTGTTCACGATGTCTGCAAGTGAACGACAAGGGTTAAACCGCCCAAGTAGGGGGGGGGATGGGAGGGGGGACTCATGGAGATCCAACGGCTCCCTGGGCCGCGGTCAGCTGGGAGAAGGACCCTCAGAGCTGAATCAGTGACCTGGTGGCTCCAGGGGGCGCGGCCCTCCACCCCCCGTGAACTCTAGAAAGGCCACGGCTGTGGGAACTGAATTCAAACAAGGCCACTTCCTTTCTCGAGAATGGCCTCAAGGGGCTGCTGGACAGTCAGCCCCTGGGGCCGCCAGAGGCCTGGGTCCTGGCTGGGAGGGTGGGCATGCATGGCTGGGAAACAGCAGAGCCGGAAAAGGGAAACAAAACATCCGATTACAGAGGGCTTGGAAACGCCTGCGGCAGCGGGCACACACAGTGGCGCTGGCCACTTGCAGGAATCCGTCTCGGTCCCGCCGCCTCACACCCCTCAGAGGGGGTGGGACTCAGTCAAGTCCGACCCTGGCGGGGTGCCTGGGCCCTGGCCCAAGATGCAATCCCCGGAGCCGATGGTCTCCAAGCCCTCCTTCCCCCACCTCGCCGTGAGCGTGTCTGGCCTCTCAGGCTGCTTCCGCTCCAGCTCCCGGGGCGACACCACGTCCCCAGTTCACCCGGATTCACTCTGGCATCCTCGCCGGCTCTTGCCAGCTCCCTGAAGTTCCCGAAGACAGGCCCACACGACAGGGTGCCGGCTGAACTAAAGGGATGTACTCACCCTCGGCATCCAACATCTTGGGGATGTCTAGGTATTTCTCGGCCACTTCAAAAGCATTGTTCAGGTTGGTGACTGGGTCGTCCTGGGGGAGCGAGGCGAGAACTCAGCCAGGGGTAGGGTGCAGACACTGAGGGGAACTGGGGCTGGGGGGTAGCGAAGGATGCTGGGAAGGCGCCTTTGGGCAGGATGGAGCCAGGGGCTGGAGGGAAGTGGGGAAGGGCAGCAGCTAGATGAAGCCAATTCCCGCCCAAGGGAACACCTCTGGAATCCTTTCAGGGGCAAACTGTACTTCATAAAGTACAGGTGTGTTCTTTTCTTACACAAGAAAAGCCACCCAGACCCCAGCTCCAGAGCCGTGCCCTGAATGCCAGAAGTGAGCTGAGCTGAGCAAGCGCCGGGGTCGGGGAGCAAACCCAGTTCCCGTACACCCTCCCTAAAGCACCCCCCTCACGCTTTCTCCCCACCACTGACATGACTGAGGCCCCCTTTACTCCAACCCTCACTCACTGCTGTTCAGCAGGAGCCTCCCAGGACTGACCGGGCTGCATGTGACTCCCCAGGAATGCCCTCTCCAGTTCTAGGTGGCCATGCCTGCCCTGCCCCTCCTCACCCCCATTCAGCCTGAACACGTGTGGCCTCCGGTGGCTGGCGTGCTCTGAACACTGTCCTGTTCCCCCCACCCCGCCCCCAAGTGGGAGCCCCTAAAGCACAGGCCTGGGGCCCATTCGGTCTACTCAGGTAAGTGCGAACAGGGCCTGCCCAGGAAATGTCGAGGAAATGTCGGCGGCGATGATCTGGAGTCCTCGCCCTCTCCTCCGCAGGCAGAGGGCAAAAGCTTCCAGAATCTGGAAGGTCAGCAAGGGGAGCCAGAAGGCGTGGCTAGCCAGGCCCTAACATCACCGAGGACGACTGCAACGCCCGTGACGAAGGGGAGAGTCCCTGAAGGGAGCAGGGCGAGACCCTGGCACCTGCCCTTCAGAGCACAGTCCAGCTCCGATGCCAGCGAGGGAGGCAAAGGAGGGGCTCAGGGTGTCTGAGGGCCCCGAGGGGAGGGCACCTACCTTCCTCAGCTTGTCATACTCGATCAGCTCTGGCCTGTGCCGGTGGATCAGGGCATTGAAGGCAAGGCCGTCCTTCCAGCTGTGGAGGGAAGGCGGTGTCATGAGGCCTCTCAGCCGCAGGCCCAGGGCCCCAAGAGGAGCGAGCAGTCTGGGTTTCTGAGGCGCTTCCTGCCCGCCAGCGCCGCAGGGGGACGGAGTGGCAAAGGGCCGTGAGCGTGCCTGCCAGGGCCGGTGGCCCCCAGCTCTCCCACGGGCTGCCAGGGAGATCACACAACCTCGTTTCCGTGTCTGTGAAACAGGGACGGTGAGGGTACCCACTTCCTAGGGTGTTGTAAGAGTCAGAGTAAATACACAAAACACTCAGGCCGGTGTCTGACGTGACAAGTTCTTTCTGACTGCTGGCTGCTGGGCCCGGCCCGCTGACCCCACGGACTCAGACAGGGCCCACGCACCGTGGGAGGCTGGTGTCTGCACAGCGTGACCTCAGCGCCCTGACTGGCCCGGCCTGTGGGCTCGAGAGTCCCTATGAAGAGGAGAACGACGGCTGGCCAGAGGTTGGGCACGTCCCATTATCCCCAGGCCCTCTAGGGACCACGCCTCCAGCTCAGAAAGACTGGCCCGACAGAGGTGCCTGTCTCCTGGTTACCTCCCACCACCCGAAACTATAGCCGGCGCCTTTGTGAGCTAGTGGCCCCCTCCTGTAGTGACTGCCCAAGGGTGGGGCCTTATTTCGCTGCGGCTGTACCCCCTCTTGGCTCATGGCAGACACTCCACAGATAATTACCAATTGAACAAACGAGAAGGGCAGAAAGGACCGCAGAAAGGACCCGCCAGCTGGAGGCAGGAAGAGGAAGGAGACACACACAGGAGACCCGGGCGGAGCCACAGGCTGTTCACAGCAGGCACAATGGAAAGGCCCCTAACATCCAGTGCCAGGGCCCCGGGAGAGCCCGAGGGCCTGGCAGGGCCTTTGTGGCGCCTGTGAGGCCCCATTCTTCATTCCTTTGTGAGCCCAGACCTGGTCCTCCACCCTGGGGGACACCAGAGGCTTAGGGGTAAAGTCACAAATCCAGGTCTGCGCTGACCTCAGGGCCACCCCCAAAACCTGCCCTCCTACCCAGCAGGCCCCATCGCCTGTGGCCGCCCTCTGGGCCTCACATGCACTGACCATGCTGGTCTGGGGTCACTTCCTTTGCCCCCAGGGAGCACAGGGCTGAGTCTTGCTCACTGGCGGCTAAAGAGGACACTCTCCCCAATGCTGTATTCACTGGCGACCCGAAGGGTGGGTTCCTTCTGAGGCCAGGCTAGAGGAAGAGCTCTGATGCTGCCTCTGAGGAGATTCCACAAGGCTGACGGGAGGACCCGCACTGCCTCGGCCCAGGGTGGCGAGCAACTGCCTCCTCCCTGGAGGACGAGGCCCCTTCCAGGACGGGCTTCCTGAGGCCAGCATCCACCCACCATGACAGAAACAGGTCAGGAGCGCAGGTGGAGGACAGCGACTCAGGTGCGGGAGGAGGGCGGGGCGAGCCGCTGGGCGACACGACGGTGCTTACCTGATGTGGAAGTTCTGCACGTTGACATTCTTGTACGGGGCCGTCTTTCTCTGGCACCACAGAAGCAGACCTTCCTTGGCAGAGGTCTCTGCAAAACAAGGTGATGAGCACTGGCTCCCAGCTGGACCGACTGAACCCACACAGCCGAACGGAAGGTCCAGCTCAGAGCGAGGGTCAGATGGCCCGGACAGAGAGCCCCTGCAGATGTGTGCACACAGCCTGAGAGAACCTGCCCTGGTCACCCAGGAAGCAGAAGTGGCAGGACAAGGCTGCACCCGCAGCTGCTGGCTAGGCAAGGCAAGCCTGAGGGGCTGTGGCAACAGCGAAGACAGCTATGGGGCACACATACCTGCCCTGCCCACCCAGGGTCTCCCAGCTCTGGCCTCTGCTCGGGGGAAGGGAGTGCGAAGCGCCCAGGAGGTGTCCCGACCCTGTGGGAGCTCTGGCTACCACTGACGCCTGCTCCACATTTTGGCCCCAGGGGGTTTCCTCAGCCTGTGGCATACACAGGTCCTCGGAGGAAAGAGAAGCAGCTCACTGCGGGGGGTGCAGGGGCACTGTGCCCCAGATCCAATGACAAAGCCCCAAGGGGGTGGCACTCAGGAGAACCAAGGCTATGTGTACTTGCTCCCATGATTCAGGTTTTCTGACTATAAAATGGGGCCAACCAGTCCTGCTGCACAAGGGTGGGATGAGGGTCCCTGAGGCGGGGGTCATGAGAGGGAGGGTGCTCTCTGTTGCCTGGACCTGCGGTTCTGCTGACGAGTCCTGTGCAGGGCCAGGCCCTGGAATGCTGTGGGAACAGGGGAGTCCCAAGCATGAAGTCAAATGCCTGGAATGCTGACAGTGCACCCCTGGTTCAGGGAGAGCCAAGGTGGGGAGAAAAGCCTCCCAGCAGGCGCTCAACCCTCACCTTCCACGGAGATGTCCTGGATGGCGAACCTGAGGATGATGGTCCAGATCATTCCCAGGGTCATCTTTGCATTGCCGTCCACGATCTCTGCATGCAGGGGAGGGGGCAGAGGGTGAGACAGTTGCTAAAACCAGAGTAAGGCGCCTCAGGGCTCAGGAGGTTATCAGCCTTCGCTGCCGGCCATGGAGGAGACGGGGAGGCTGGGGAGGGCCGGCTCTGGCCCTCGGGAGTGGGCCCTCAGGAGGGCTGTTCTGCACGCCGCCGCAGCGGCCGCGGGAAGAAACCAACTCGGGCTTGAACAGAAGACATTTTTAGACTGAGTTTTTCTCCAAATGAAAACTGCTGAGGGCCATGGGTCTCTCCTCTAACCTCTTCTGTGTTTACAGGCTAATGTTTGAGCAAAATAAATGCAGCTGTGAGAAGCAGAAGGCTGGAGTGGAGCCAGGAGGAAAGATCCAGGCAAGGACAGAAAATCTCATTCAATTCTGGGGTTTTGTTTTCTTCAAACACCATCACCCCAGTGGTGAGGCTCTGGCACCCTCCCTGAGGGGTCCGGGAGGGCAGAGCCTTGGAATGCAGTACTCACATTCGGGACTAGAGTCTGGCCAAACTTTCCCAGCCCTGTCATTAATGGTAATTAGTTTTCTTTGTTTTTCTAAAAGCTGGGACAACATGGAGTTTGGGGTGTAAGAAACCCTGCTCTAATGAATGGAAGCTGCGAGTCCAGGCTGAGGGGAGCTGCTGGCTTCCGTCAGGCCTCACCTAGTCTGCAAAGGGGCCTGACACGAGCCCGCTGCTGATGGGGGGCCTTTGGGTGGGGGCCGCTGCCCCACCCCGCCCTAGGAGGTTCCTGGACTGGTCAACAGCGACTCTCCCAACCCACACAGCCCGTGGCGTCTGGGCACCGACCTCTGGACGTGCATCCTTCCCAGGGTCGCTGGGCCTGAGTGCCCTCCCCTCCTGCCCACAGGTGCCAGGCGGGGCTCAGGGCGGCAGCGCTCCCAGCACAGACAAAGGCCCCACTCTGGCCTGTCGGTGTCTCTCAGGCCCAGCACAAAGCGGGTGGGCGAGCGCACCCGGGCCCAAGTCACACTGGATGAGACTGTTCTGGCGGGGCTGGCGTGGGGAGGGGACAAGGAGCCCGTGGGCAGCCCAGGAGCTCACCTTCCGCCCCGATGGAGACCAGCTTGACACCCTTACTGGCGATGAAGTCCAGCGCCTTGTTCACGTTGTTGATTTTGTGCACTCTCATCTTGCCCCGCTCCGGCTTAGGTAACCGCTCCCCTGAGAGCCGGGATGGGGGGACACAAGGAGAAGCGTTAGGGTCCCCACGGCAGCCTGGGGACCCAGGGTGGCGGCCATGCGGGATTGGCTGTGACAGGGCACGGTCCAGGTAAGGTCACCTAGGCAAAGGGGAGCCTCACCTGAAATGACCTCCAGCAGGAGCATGAGCTTGAGCCCGTCTCGAAAGTCCTCGTCGATGTTCTCGATCTGGGTGCCCGCCTTCCGCAGGTGGGAGTTGCACCAGGCTGTGAAGGTCTGGGGAACAGAACAAAGAGCGCCCAGGCTCAGCGTGGCGGCCAGGGCTCTCGGCCACACACCCAGGGCCAGGCCCGTCTGGACACTGGGCCTGAGCTCTACAGTCACCTGGGCACCAGGTACTTGGAGGCTCCAGGTGGTTCACAGACCCACCAGGTGGGCATCCAGGTCTGTCAACCTGGGAGCAAGGGTTCGCTCTGCGGCACCCAGCAGACCCAAGTGTGGGGCCATGGCAGGCGCACAGGACCTGAGCGCTGACACACAGGCGACCCGGGGCAGGAAGCAGCTGGAGGACAAGGGCCTCCTGTAAATCCCAATTTCCTCAAGTCACCCTCTCTGGCCCTTTGCTGGAAGCAACAACCAGCCCCCCAAAAGGCCAGAAGCACAGCCGCTCGGAGCCCCTACAAGTCAACTGTCCTCTGTTCTCCAGATTCCACGCCAAGCCCCCAGGCTACGCGAGGGCAGCGGCACCCCTCCGGCCCCGGGGGAGTCCGCATCCCTGAGGAGTGGCTGAGACCCCAGGGCACGTGGACACTGGCACGCGGAAGGCGTGGTATCCCACGCAGGATACCAGAGGGCACCCAGGCTCCCGGTGATGGCCAGTCAGCCGTCCTGCTGCTGGCCGGGCACATCACCGGGCACCAGCACCAGGGAAGCAGGTCAGAGAGGGGACATGGACATGCTGGGAAATTCTGGAGAAATGGACGGTCTGAGAAAAACCAACCCCCCACACCGGTTTCTCAGGGGAGCCGACACCCGCCCTGCCTCGTCAACCCGCAGGGGCAGCGTGCATGTGGGCAGCCAGCCAGGAGTGCACAGGGCACGCTCCATGCCTGGGAGCAGGCAGAGGCCAACGGGGGCTCGCAAGGAGCCTCTGGCGAGCACCATATGTTTTGACAACTGTCACCAGCCAGGCTCATTCAGAACAAGGCCCCTCCTAGACACGAGGCCAACTAATTAGCACACTGCATCAGTGAGAACTGGCTCAGGGTTTCCTTCCAAACCAAGGGCACCCCACCGGCCCTGCCAACCTAGGAGGCAGCTGCCTGCCCTGCCCGGGACACTGTCCCCTCAGCCAAGCATGCCTCTGCCCTGCTCCTGCTCTTCTGAGCCCTCAAAACCAGCCCCTGGAGAGTGGCCCGGCCCGGAGACATGCAGCTCTCATCACAGCACCCCTTCCCCCCTGCCCCCCCGGGTCTAAACAACACGCCTGCTTCCCCGCAGCACGGCTGGGCTCCAAGCAGGTCCTCATCCAGGGAGGCCCGATCCCACCTCGCCTTCAGCACCCCAGGCACAGCGGGCCGGACTGCTGGTCAGGCCGCTCACGGGGCAGGCCCCGAGCTCCCTCAACGGTGTCTCCTCCTGTGAGCTGCGGCCATGCAGACTCGGACAGGTGGGCCATGGCCTGCAGGAGGGTGGTATCCCCCATCGCTCCTTGCCGGCCCCCCGCCTACGAGGCAGCCCCCAGCCCCTCCTGGCCTCACTCACGGTTACTGGACGTCATGCGCACACGTGCAAGCCCCCCGCTTGCCTCCCGCTCACGGGCCCCTGCAGCACCCTACGCCGGGCGGCACAGAACTAGGAGAGCAGAGGGCAGCGTAGGCTGGGGGCCAGCAGGGAGGACAAGCACACCCCAAGCTGAGGGCGCGGAGCCCGTCCCAGGCGCGGCTGGGCCTGCGCAGGTCTGAAGGCGCCCGCCGTGGCAGGTCTGAAGGCGCCCGCCGTGGGGGGCAGGTCTAGGCACCAAGCCTTGGCTTGCCCTGTGCTTCCAGCCAAGTGATCTGAACTACGTGGGCCTCAGTCTCCTCCTCGGTTGGACTTACCAGTGCCCACCTGCTCGGAGGGCTAGGTGGGGAGACACACTCGCAGGCGTCCGCCACTGCCTGTATTAGTCAGTGCGAAGCCGGTCGCGGGCACACATGCCGCACTGGCCGCCCACCCCTGGGCCGGGCGTGGCGCGGACACATTGCGGGAGATCTGCTCAGGACAGCACGAGCCCCAGCCTCACGTCTCCTCAAGGCCTGGCCACCCACCTGCCCTACCTCTGCACCTTTGCTCATGGGCTCTGGGTGGGGCTGGGGTCAGAGAGCTGGCTTCAGATTTCGCTTCTGCTATGGAGGCCACGAGTCTGGCATTCCCGGCTGGTGAGCCGGGGACACCAGCCCCTCCTCTCAAGCGAAGACTAAACAAAGTAACGCAAGCAGATCACTTAGCAGGAAGCCTGGCCAGATGAAGCGCTGCTACGCATCTGTCAGAAGGTCTATTTTTAAGTCAACGGCAACTCGGCCTCACGGCTGTCTCTGCTGGAAGCGGGCGCGGGTCCAGCAGAGCTCTGTGCAGGTGCGTGGGCAAGGCCCTGTGGCTGCCGAGGGGGGGAGGAAGCGCCTCTAGCCCCCCACACGACAGCCCCACTCTCTGTCCTCCCGTTTTCTCCTTCTGGGAGACCAGTGGCACTACTGTCTCTGGAGGCGAGGAGCCCTGCATCTGGCCTTCGTGAGGCTACCCTGGAGGGGACCAGCTGACCACAGATGGCCACGTCTCCACGTTTCGTGGCCGGGGCGCAGGAGCTGGACTTTGAACGGGACATTAAACATTCATGGCTTTTTCTATTTGGTTACAAAAATAACATTCTGCTTCAATGCCTCCTCTCCCTGCCTGGTTTAGACTCCGACCACGATGTGTGGCGTGGGGAGTGTGGGGGGTGGCTTCTATAGATGGAGGCCTCGGTGCCCACAGTACCCCCTTCACAAAATCCTCACAGCGAGAGCAACAGAGCCCCACTGCCACAGCTCTCGCCAAGCCTTGCTACGTGTCAAGCCAGAGCTGGGCCTGGGCTGAGGACAGGACGGCCTCACGGGGCTCCCCTATGCTGAGGGAGCTGTTCCTGTCGCCCAGGAGCCTACCGACTACCAAGTAACACGCTGAGCCGCACGCCAGGCAGTGCCGGCCCCTCCTCTGGATTCAACCCGTCTCCCCTCACAACCACCCCAGGAGGTGGCTGCTGGCATTTTCCAGACGAGGAAACCGAGCGTCTGAGAGGGGCACACAGGGAGCCACACGCCCGGGGCTGGGCTGGCGGCCAGTACTCGGGCTCTGCAGCCCACACTCTGCCCCCTCCATGCCACTCTGAGAGGACCAGAGAGGGAAGCTTCCCTTGAGGTGACTCTCAAACTCCGACTTGAGAACGAGTGGTTCAAAAAACCAGGGTGACTTTCCAGCTACGTGGGCCCCCACGAGCTAATGCCCTCCATCCAGTAGGAGGGAAGGGTCTGGCAGAGGAGAGGAAAGAAGAGAGTGAGGGGAGCCAGGCTGCCAGGCCCATCTCAAAGGTCGCCTCGGCTAGTGCATGTGAAGCTGAGCTGCTGGCACCAGGGTTCAAGCGTGATGACCAGGGGACAAAGAGGTACAGAGAAGCCTGTGAGAAGCCTGGCAGGAGGAGAAAGCAGGAGCCAAGGGCGACACTGACAGCGGTGGCTCAGAAACGCAGCCTGGAGGTTCCAGTGTCACCTGGGAAAGGCCCAGGGCCGCTGCCTCTGTGGGGAGCAGGACAGGAAGGTTGGGGCGTCTCGCTGGGGGCGGCACTGACTCAGCCGTGGCCTTGTTCCTGGCGCCTCACCCAAGGGGTGCTCACCACTTTCACCTGACAGAGCCCGAGTTGGAGCCCCGATGAGGGAAGAAGCAAAACACAAGAATTACATTCTGATGGGGGGAGGAGGAGCACGCCAAGGGTAATTATGCTTTAATTGCTAATTGCTAGTCCTGACGGTTTGCACATGGTAGCGCTTTAAAGCCTCCAACCGGTGACAACATGAGATGTTATCAATGCTACTTTACAAATGAGGAAACCGAGGCAGGGAGAGGCTGACTGGCCCAGGGCCACACGGCTGATTCCACAGCGTCGGCATGGCGTGCTAGGTACTGACCTGACAGAGCAGATCCAGCAGAACTGAAGCAGAGGGGCCCGGCCCCCTCCACTCACGGCCACCCCGCCCCCCTCCACCTGCACCGGAGGCGAGCTCATAGCGGGGAGGCACCTGCTTCCCGAGGGAGACGGCCCCGGCCATGCCAACAGGGGACGGCGTGCCCAGCCCGACCCTACCATCCTGAGGAGGGAGCTCTACTGGCCCCTGCCCTATGCCCTATGTAGGGAGAATACGGACTCAGTGTCTGCAAACACAGCAGGGAAAAGCCACAGAGCAGGGCCTCCCGAGCCTGCCTCTGCACGCTGGGTGCCTGCGGAAGACTCTTCTCTGGTTGCTAAAGTAGCACAGGGTGTGTGGGGGCCCGGGGGAGGAAGCGTGGAAGGGGAGAGAAAGATGAGCCACCGCGGCCACTCCCTGTGCCAGGGATGGCTTGGGGGGGGGCAGAAGGGTTTCTGCTTTGTCACTCTGGGCGTGGGGGGAGGGGGAGGAGGGCTAGCATCGCTGGCCATAAAGTCCTTCCTGTGTCACAGGGACCCCTCCCTGCGGCCAGGATGTGGGGTGGCTGGGTGAATGAATGATGGACATTGTTCAGGAGGTGACCTAAGCAGCTTGGAATGTGGCGGCAGCCGGCTCTAATGAGGCATTCCTGGTGACTCCTGCCCCCCTACCCTCCCCAGAGGTAAACCCCTCCGGTCTGGGGCAGTCGCTGAATAGGACACAAACGCCTGAAGACACACAGGGGCAGGCCAGTGGAGTTCTGAGCCGAGAAGAAAGGATCCTGGTGAGATGCTGCTGACCCAGCTGAAAAAACTTTCCTTCCCAACGACTTCCTGTTACAAAACACCCCTTCTTGGCACTGGAGGGGTAGGTGATGTGGATGGCGGGAAGCGCCTGCTGGAAGCTGGAATCCACTAGCCCAGAGTAAAGGGAGTCTGGGGCCTAGCAGGAGGCTGGTGAGTCCCTGGGTGGGGGCACCAGCGGCACAGCTCCGGGGTCGGGGGCTGTGTCCCCACCCGCACGGCCACCGAGCACACGTGGGGCCCACTGACTCTACGCTTGACCAGATTTTAGGAAAAA